CCCATATAGGATGCCAGCATCACAGGTGGCAGCTTTACCCACTACAGCCTGACACTGGCCCCTCTCATCCTCTCTGTCTGTCTTTCTTATTATTTACCTATTTTAATTTTATTGGAAAGAAATGGATCACAAAGAGAGAAAGAGAGACAGACATACTCCATTTGCTGGTTCACTCTTCAAATAACTGCTGCATCCAGGGCCGGGCCAGACTGAAGCCAAGAGCCAAGGACATGGTCTAAGTCTCCTAGGTGAATGGTAGATACTCAAGAACTTGAGCCATCACCTGCTACTTTCCAGGGAGTACATTAGCAGGAAGATGGATCAGAAGTGGAGGAGCTGGGGAAGAATCAGGCACACCAATATGGCCTGTGGGTGTCCCAAGCAGTGATGTTAGTGCTGTGTTAAATGCCCACCCCCTCCAGTCCTTCTTGACACGTGGTTCTACACAACCCTGTAGTTAACGGGGCCGGTTTCTATCTGGAAACTATAGCAAACACACAGCTTAGAGTGTAGACACAACATTCTACGTGAGTCTTCTTGTACTCTATACTGAACCAACATGGTGGTTAATGAGAAATATTTCACTTACTCATTTATCCAAACTCTGTTTCTTTCTCCCTTAATTACACATGTAACAGGCAAGGGAAATTTAGTAATTTTGTAGAACCCTTTCCACTCCAAATCCTAGCTAGGCAAACTTCTGTGTTTTCTTTTTGAATTTCCCCCTTTTTTCATCAACATTCTTCTCATATCCAGGCTCTAGCCAAGATAATGCAGAAAGGAGAGAGAAAGGATAAGACAGTGGAAGAAGGGGGAGAGGAAGGAAGGCAAAGGCAGGTCGCAGTGGCGTCAAGGGTGGCGGGGCTGCTTCTTGGACGTTCCTTGGCAGAGGGCTTGCTTGGGAACCTGCTGAGAGTGGTCTGAGCACTGGCATTTTACTAGAACTGCCTCGCTGACTCAACTGAGCCTCCAGAGTTAGAGAGAGAGCATTTGTTCAGGGAAGACTGAAGATTGTAGAGTCGGTCCTCTCCAATAAGATTATATATGGAGTGAAGTCTCAGTAGAAATGATCATCTTCTTTTCAATCTGACAAGCTTATTCCAAAATTTATTTAGAAATGCACAAGGGCCTGGAAACCTGGGAGGACAAGGCACTCTTGAAAAATATAAGAAAATAGAGGACGTATTCAAGACTCACTTTACAGGATTTCAAAACCTGTTTTGGAGCTAAATATGAAACACAATTGGATTATACCAGTTGTCAATGTGCTGGTTTGAGCACCAAATCCATCCTTTTTGCTCTGCTTTGCAATCCTGGAACTTGACCCTGTAAGTATCTTTATTTTCAGGTGGATGAGCTTTAGCCTTTTTTTCAATAGAAGACACTAGTGGGACTCTGCAAGGCGTAGCAGAAGGGATCGCGTGTCCTGGTTGGGATGTTTTCATCTTGCTCTGCCAGCATGGCTCTCAACAGCTGGTGGGAGATTTAGTGAGCCTCAGCCTCCAGCTTGTCCTGCCAGCACAGCTGAGCCCCTTCCAGCTTGCCAGCGCTGGGCCATGTCACCATGGGAAGAAGCTTCTGGCTCAGCAGTCCTGGGCTGCAGACTGCACACCAGTTCTGACCCTGGTGAACCTCACCACTGCCCACAAAGAGCTGTAGCCACATGCGCCCCAGGGAGGTCTTAATCTCAGTTTTGGTGGAGGGACCCCTTTCCCAAGTTTGTTCCAGTTTTGAATCCTTCCTAAGGCCTAGGGCTGGTACCTACTGATGTTTGCTATTTCTTTGTTGTATTAATCACCGTTGTCTGAGTAAATGATTATTTATATATGATTTTCCCCATTCAAATTGCTGGTGTGGTTTTTGTTTCATGACTGCTATGGTGGAATTGATACAAGGTCAGATAAGCAGACCAATAAAACAGAGTAAGGACCCCTGCCAGTTGTGGACACTTGGTGTGTGACAACATTGACGCTGCAGAGTGGTGATAAAGAAAAACCTTTCCAGTCCATGGAGCCCATCTCTGATTGCATCTCTTTCTACCCTCCCCATTGGCACCTCACTTGCCTCTGCTGTGTTTTGGGGGCCACAAGCTTGTTCTTACCTCAGAGCTCCCCTGGTTGCTGTTCGCTTGATTGGCCTTTTCTGGCCCTGGATACTTACGTAGGTTCACCTAGCTGTGTGTTCGAATCTCCATTCATCAGATGGACTTTCCTCTAAAAAGAGGGTGCAGAAAAAAGCACCATTTCCACGAAGTCTTTAGTCCATTATATCATTTTATATTTCTTCATGGTGCTTCTTAGCACTAATTCTCAATATTTATGAGCTTGTTTATTGGATGTCTCCTTAAAATGTGAGATCCATCTGAAGATACAGTACAGTTTGTTTTATTACTTCCAGCACTTAGAGTTTTCCATAATTGTTGAATGAACAAACGAATGAAGGGATTCTATTGACACTGGGCCATGTGGGTCCTGGGACCTATTTCAGTTGTATGCATATCGTCTCTGAAAGGCTGTTTTACTCTCACTCTAGGGGACGTTCTATGGCTCACTGACATCAGTTTCTTCCTCTAAAACACCAGCCTTAGAGATTGACTCCAATCATATTGAAGATTTTCAAACTGGAGTTTGAAAGTCTAAGTCAGATAGTTTCATTTCCAGGTTTGAAGTCTCAAATGACCTCTGACTGTATGTGGCATGAGATTATATCCCCTGCGGGCAGCATTGTGCAGGAGGTGAAGCCTGGCATCCCTTATTAGAGTGCCAATTGGAGTCCTGGCTGCTTGACTTCTAATCCATCTTCCCACTAAAGTGCCTGGGGAAAAATATGGAAAGATGACCCAGGTGCTTGGGCCCCTGCCACCCATGTGGGATGCCTGGATGGAGTGCCAGGCTCCTGGCTTCAGCCTGGTTCAGCACTGGCCACTGTGGCCATTTGGAGAGTAAATTATCAAGGGGCTGGAAGATCTCTCTGTCTCTCCCTCGCTGTCATTCTGGTTTCAAATAAGTATACATACATAAATAATTCCAACTCCTTTCTCTGGCCTCTGGGACTGACTCTATCTTCTTTCTACTTTTCTAACTTCTTCTTTTGTGATCTCCTTTTAGTTCTTTCTCCTCCAGTCTTTCCTGGTTTCCTTCTGTTCCTTGAACAACACCCTAGCTCATTTATCAGAGCCTTCCCACTTGTGTTTGCTTCCATCTGAAACACAGTTCCAGCTCTTCACTCTCTTAATCTTTTGTCATTCAGTACACACACATTTTGAGAGATTTTTTTAAAGATTTATTTGAGAGAGAGAGAGAGAGAGAGAGAGAAAGGGAGAGAAAGAGAGAAAGAAAGGGAAAGAGAGAAAGAGCGAGAGAGCGAGAGCAAGCCTCTATCTGCTGGTTCACTCCACAGATGGCTACAGTGGCTGGGGCTGGGCCAGGCTGAAGCCAAGAGATCTATCCAGGTCTCCCATGTGGATGTAGGGTTCCAAGAACTTGGACCATCTTCCACTCCTTTCCCAGGACATTATCAGGGAGTTGGATTGGAAGTGGAGCAGCCAGGACTCAAACTGTTGCCCATATGGGATGCTGGCACTGCAGACAGAGGCTTAACTCTCTACACCACAGTGCTGGCCCCAGAGAGATCTTTGCTTATCACTGAGGTAGCTCCATCCTCCTCATTACCCTATCTGATTTTCCATGGCATACTTGTTGCTCCCTAAAAGAGATCTTGCTTCTTTGTTTGCTCTGCCTCCCTTCTCCATCAGAGCTGTGTTTTGTTTTATTTGCTAGTATATTCCTAGTGTCTAAACAAACACTGCCTGATACTTAATAGGTGCTCAATAAATATTTGCTGAATACATAAATGTTTCATCAGTCACATTATTTTAGGGGTGAAGTGCTAGCCTTGGGAGGAACATAGATCCTGGTAGAAATAATGTGTACACTTTAAGAAACTTTCTGTTTAGGACATCTGCCATTCTATGGGTCTGCTGTGTATCTCACTTCCCATGTTGGATCATTCTCTCCCTTTTTTATTCTATCAGATAGTATTTGCAGACACTATTCTTGTTTATGTGATCCCTTTGGTTCTTAGTCCTATTATTACGATCAATTGTGAACAGAAATTGATCACTGGGATTAGTGAGATGGCATTGGTACATGCCACCTCGATGGGATTGAATTCGAATCCCCTGGTATGTTTCTAACTCCACCATTTGAGGCAAGTATTCTGGCCTCAGAATCAGCCCTTAAGGCATGCAGATCCGGCTGAAAAGCCCATGAGAGTATTTCAGGCATGGAAAGCCAAGACACTCTGGGGGGGAAAAAAAAAACCTAAATGAAAGATCTCCACGGCTGAGATCCCAGTGGAAAGAATGGGTCATCAAAGAAGGAGGTACCTTTCTCTGAAGGGAGGAGAGAACTTCCACTTTGACCATGGCCTTGTCTAAAAATGATCAGAGTCAGTGAACTCAGGGGGCTTCCATAGCCTTGGCAGCTCATGACAAGAGCCTAGGGTAATTACTGATGCCATAAACAAGAGTGTCAATTTGTTAAGTCAACAACAGGAGTCACTGTGCACTTACTCCTCATGTAGGATCTTTGTCCTTAGTGTGCTGTACATTGAGATTTAATGCTATAACTAGTACTGAAACAGTATTTTTCACTTTATGTTTCTGTGTGGGAGCAAACTGTTGAAATCTTTACTAAATGTATGCTAAACTGATCTTCTGTATATAAAGAGAATAGAAAATGAATCTTGATGTGAATGGAAGGGGAGAGGGAGTGGATAAGGGGAGGGTTGCGGGTTGGAGGGACGTTATGGGGGGGGGAGGCCATTGTAATCCATAAGCTGTACTTTGGAAATTTATATTCATTAAATGAAAGTTAAAAAAAATAAAACAAAAAAGCAAAAAAATAAAAAAAACAAAAACAAAAATAAAAAATAAAAAAGAAACTTTCTGTTACCAGTAACTTAGAATACATTGATTTTCTTCACCCTCGCTCCTGATTTTCTACAAAAGCCTTTCTTTATTAGGAAAGAAGACACATTCATTTCGAGTTGCTGCTTATAAAAGACGTACATTTTGTCACACATTCTTCCTTCAAGGATGGTTTTACGACGATCTGCCCTTCTTATCTGAATCTTGCACTTCCTTTATGATTGAAGGAAGGCTAATATCTGCTTCTTATCTACAGGGTCTTTCACTAGGCTTCTGGTTTATCAACTTCAGGCGGTCTCTGCTGCTGTTAAGGAGAGAAGTATTAATCTTCTTTATTTATTTTATGCGTTATTTATGCCCCACCTGCTTCTAAAGCCAATTTTGGGCAGCTCACTTTTCTTAATTACTTTCTACCCTCATCCTTTGAAGCTGCCAGATCCTGTAAGGTTTCTTAGCGGTGTCACTTGGGCTTTGATTCCTTTTTGAAAAGCGCAGTGTTGGCCTGGGCAATTTCTGGGCTCTTTTAAAGCTGTGACATGGAGGAACACCCTTCACGGAAGAGAGGCAGTTGATGACCAGTCACGTGGGATGCTGCATGGCTCACTCACACACATCTTGCTCCCAGGGTCTGTCTGCACTCCTGCAGCTGCACTGCATAGGAATCCTGGAGCTGAAACTGTATGCTTTCTGTCTCATTAAAATATGAGCCTTTAAATTGTCACATATGACAAATACAATGTCGTTTATGAAGGACTCACTTTGACCAGGCGTCTTAACTACCTTATGATGAATTTATGCTACATTTCTGTGATGCAGCTGTTAGTACCTCTAGTGTACAGAAGAGCGCAATCAAGGATCAGAATAGGTGAGTAACCTGTCAGGATCAGCTAATGAAAAGGGACAGGACCAGAATATGAGCCTGACCTCTCTGGTCCCTCAAACACACACTTCGAGGAGACCCTCAGCAGATTTAGTCTTCTGTGGGTATAAGACACAGAAGCAGCTCAGAGATTCAGCTCTGACTTTGAATTAGGGATGACTGTGCAGAGAAGCAATGCCTGGTTTGCTTCTCAGTGATGCATGTTTGTAGGGTCACATCTGACTAGGGCCCCAAAGGTTGCAATGTGGGGACTGAGTTGATGAGTTCCTTTTCCAGACAGAGCAAATGCTTTGTGTGAAACCCCTAAGACATGGTGTTCTTGGAGACTAAGCAGTTGGGTAAGACCAGAGTGTAGGATCTGTCTATAGGTTAGAGAAAGGCTTAGAAATAGGGCTGGGAAGGTCAGAGAAGGCAGGGTTTGAGTAGTTTGGAATGAGTCCCACAGCTGATGGGAAAGAATTGCAGAGGGATGATCTGATCTGGCTGTATTTCAGACAGCTTGCATTGTCTCTGCTCTTACCACCTGACCACCTATTGTCGGCCAGTTGTGTGGGGAGAGCTCCCTTTGGGAGATGTCCTCCTCTTCTTTGTGAGCCAGAATTCTTACCATGTCACCTGGCGCCTGTGTGTGGAAGGTGATACAACCAGGATGGGAACTGTCAGAGCCTGACTGGGGGCTCTGTGAAGTTGGTCGGAGGGACTCCATTAATCAGTTTTGAAAGGTATTTTTGCTATTGCTTTTGAGCAGAGAAGAAAAGCTGCCTCTGCCTCAAGTGCCAGGGTGTTCTGCGGGGAAATTTTCTGCTAGGGGTGAATCAATGCCAATTTGAATTCATCCAATAAGCCCTGGAAAACAAAATGAAATTATTGGCCCTCTCTCTCCTAACAGCTAAAAGAATTGAAAACTTTGCCTCATGTTCAGACATCTGGAGGGAAGAATGGATAGATTTTGGGGTGAAAGAGAAGTGATCAGAAAGAAGGGATAGAAACCTGGAGGTGGTTTTGTCTAGTTTCTCAATGCCCAGAGAGGATTCTAACACCACGCAGAAAACTCCTGGGACAATGCCTTTAATGTAGAAGTGTAACTGACATTTGTAAACCGCCTGTCATTTGGGAAAACATTGTTCACACACATAGCCTCCAGTGCCTTGCACAGTGCTTGTCAACTACTGGATTCTGGAAAGTTCGGTTAAAAGCTCTTGCCATAAAAGTTATGAGGTGAAAGTTTAAAGAAAAGCTTTCAAGTTCATTTTTATTCCACAAAGTCATTTTAGATTAAAAATTTGGAGTTACTGAGGAGCAAAATATGTGTGAGACACTTTGCTCATTTTGCAAAACTTATCAATTCTGTTGTCAAAGCCATGTGTGATGGGGTGGATGCTAGCCCAGGGCTTGGAGTATTTAAGAGTCAGAGCAGCCTGACTTAGAATCCCAGACCCAGTACCTGATGTCCTTGGACAAGTGAGTTCTCTGTAAGCTTCTGTTCATCATCTTTAATCTGTTTCCCAGGTTTACTGTGAGGGTTGAATCACAGGATAAAGGACTTGGGATGTAATCATGACTCCATGGAAGGCAATTACTGTTTTTATTGTTGCTGTTCTAAGACAAATGTGTTTATTCAAAATAATTTTTTCAGATTCAATATTTTTAACATTTTGCCATATTTACCTCGTATGTGAATATATACATACACATGCAATTTTTCTTGAAAACAGGGCCATTGATATTGAAACCCAGGTTTTGTGGCACCAGTTCTGAGTCTTCCCAATTTCTCACTTCTACCTCTTTTATCTGGGGCCAGATCCTGGTGCTGACCTGAGTCTGTCTCTCCATTTCCACCTCTGGCAGATATAATTCCAGTTCTGACAACGGCTTGCTTGACCAGAGCACCCAATATTGTCCTCCTGATACTATCATTTCAGTTTATCTTCCTACCCCGACTTCAGCGCTCGTAGCTACCCTTGTAATGACCTCCTTCCATCATCTCTTGCCTACTTCTTGCTCCAGCAGGTCCTGAGATCTCCCTCTTTGTAAACTGTCCTTGCTAGGCAGAGAATGTCCTCTTCTCACCTCCCCAGGAAGATGTTCATGCACTAATTTCCAGAAACTATGAGTATGTGATGCTGCTTGACAAGGGGGAATTAAGGTTGACGTTGGGTGGGTTGATTATCCTGGACTGTGTAGGCAGTCGAATGGAATCACAAGGTCCATATGAGGGAAAGAGGGGAGCAGGAGAGTCAGGATCAGTATGATGTGTGTGAGGGAGACTCGACTGACAGCTGCCACCCTTGAGGATGGAGGGGACTGAGAGACAAGAGTTGTGGGCAGCCTCTAGAACTAGAAAAGGCAAGAGGCCAAATTCACCCCTAGAGCTTCTAGGAAAACACTGTTCTGCCAACTCCCTGATTTTTGCCTGGTAAGACTCTTGCCAGATTTCTGACCTTTAGCACTGTAAGATAATGGATTTCTGTTGCTTCATGCCACTATGCATGTGGTAATATATTAGAAACACAATAGGAAATCAATTCTCTGAGCTTTTAGGCAGACCATATGCTTTTTTTTTTAATAGATTAGCCCAGACTTGAAGAAAAGACAAGGTAACATGGATTGAGCACATTGCCAAAAATATTTGGTACACAGTTTATGACAAATAACATCAATCCTTTGTTTACCTCAGCTGTCCACTTCCATTCTGAGGGAGAAGACAGCTTTTTATGATTTTCATCATTTTCCATTAAAAACCTTGGTTAATCCTGCCTGTTTTTCTCTACTGTGCCTTTTGATTTTTAACATTAGGCACTGTGTCTTCATCTGGCCAACATATATGAGCTTGAATATGAAGTGAATATGGCAAAATGTTAAACATTTTTAAATTTAAAAATGTGTATAATTTACAAAGTTTGCAAGTCATAGAAGCATGGAATGTTAGTGTTTTTGAGCTTTTTATCTCCTTAAGTAATGGAAAGTTATTTTATTAAATAAATGCCGTATGACCAGATAGGGAATGAAACAGATGACAGGAGATTGTTCAGGCGGACCTGGATTGTCAGTGGGGGAGGACAGTGTCCCCAGTGTTTAACCTCTGTTTCTGGGGCTCCTGAGACATCCTGTAGGAGTCTCAGAAAACCCGTTGTTCTAGATTGGTTATGAAATGTTGTTCCTACTGTGGCCCAGTGGGAAATGCACAAGGCCAATTAACACCAGGATGGACACTTGAACATGACCCTCTAGGCCTGACCCTCAGGCAGTGTTCTTTTTACTGTATTATACTGGCCTAAAATCAAATGCAGATTTTGATTTTTTTTTCTGATTGATAAGGCAGCAGATATTGGCATCTTCTAGTGGGTGTGTATCAAGGTATTTTTCATCCAGGAATTCAGACCCAGACATGTATCAACTGCTAAAATAATTTCTTCATTCCACTACACCCATTCCGGAAGTGCGAAAACTGTGGTTCAGAAAGGTGAAGTGGTCTCTGTCACTGAGGGTCCCTTCTCATTAGTGATCATGGAAACCAACTTCCTTTTGCACAACATGGGGACACTTGTCACCAACCTGAGCATTTCATTAAAAAGGGTCCGGGAAGTAGGATTGCCATCAATGAGGACACAGTGAGGCAGCAGTTAGTGCTTGTTGGAATACATTTGAGAAAAGTGTTACTGTCCAGAAACATCAAGGACAAATGATTAAATCTTTAAAGATTTCTCTTTGAGCAGATGGAATTGGGTCTTAGGACCTGCAGCAGGAAGCCAACTTGGGAAGCAGAGATGATCGCCATATCTGCAGGGAGAAGGAGCCATCCCAGGCTGGCACCAAAGGCTGTTACCAGTCCCTCCTGAGAAGGACCCATGGACCAGTACTAAAACCTCTGCTTTCTTCCAATATAATTAACACACATGCACATGGTAGGTGATTCTTATTCTAAGGTGAGGCTCTAATCATGTTTCACAAATTTGCCCAAAGCAATTTAGCATCTTATATCAGCATCAGCAGGTACACATCTGTATGGTCAACTGGTAGACCCCTGTGTCTGCTCTGAGGGCCAAGGCTGATCCTACAGCTGTGGTTAGATCTTTTGGCTATCACCCCTGTTATGCATACTTGGATCAGCCAAGGCTCTGGTGCCCTAATTGTGCCATGCTAGATAAGCTGGATTACTTTGAGGATTTCTTCTCCGTGACATTTATTTTGATACGGGTGTACTCACGTGTGATGGGAGCCGGAATTGAAGCTCCTTCAGGCTGGCTCCCACAGCCGTGCACTTTTTAGTCTGTTGTGCTGCTGTGTTCCAGGTGATGAAAAGCATTTTTCAATATGATGGGTTTCATCTACATTTTATTAGTCTATTCCTGGAAAAAACACCATTTGTACATCATTTTCCTTCCTGTCTTGTCTTTATTATTCCTTTCCCGTCTCACGTGATGGGTCCTGAATTTGATTTTTTTCTTGGCTCTTGGTACATATCTCATCTCTCTTGGAGCAATTTGCCCTCTGTGACAGTCCATCTGTCTCTCCTGCCCCCACCCATGAATACTCTGCCTCTTCCAATTTTCTTTATTTCCTTTAATATCATCTACCAAGTCTTCCCTGACCTTTTCCAGTTCCTTGGATGGCCCCTTGTTCCCCAGTGATGCTGCTTGATTGGTTGGCATCCTGCAGGTGCACTGCCCCATCATCACCCTCTCTTAATTGTCTCTTTGATGATGTTTTGTTTTTCTCTTTTGGTGTTTTTCTCTTATTAAAAAGAATGAACAAATGTTGGCAACATTAGATGTGCAGCCATTGTCTGAATGTCACCATTTGACGGGATATCTTGGTGGCTATTGGCACTTCCCCTGATGTCATGTGCCTGTTGGAGTTAGTGAAGGGGCTGTGTGGACTGGGGGCTTCCAGAGTGCCTCTGTGCAGCTTGTGGGGGATCCTTTGTTAGGCTAATGGTCATTGTTGATGAGTGTCACCAAAGAGGGAAGTAAAGTTACTCGATTACATTAGGGGTCAGCAAATTTTTGTGCAAAGGGCTACACAGGAGAGATTTTTAGCATTGCTGGCTGCATAGTGTCCATTGCAGCAGGTCAGCTCTGCTATTGTAGCACAAAGGCAGCCAGAGACAATATGAAAGGGGACAACAGTCATGTCTGTGTTCCAACAAAACATTGCTGACCCCCTAAAAGGGCCAAATTTGGCCAGGAGACCTCAGCTTGTTGACTTTTATTCTAGAGTGATGTTACCTTCTTCTCTCATACCTTTTCTTGTATATTTGTTGTTTACCTAAGTGTGTATCTTTTGAAATAAGTTAGCACTCCATCCTGGCATACTCTCCAAGGCATACTCCCTTGGGAGGGAGATTGGCAGGGAAGGGGAATTTGGTGCAAGGAGATACCATGTGCGCATTGGCAGAGTGTCCCTCGTTCAGCCTGGCTAGAGGAAGTTGCCAATATTCCAGGTTGGAGATATCCTGAGTTGGGAGATGGAGAATCTGGTCCTGTTTTTGGATCTCACAGTTTTACCCACAAAATGGGGATTTTATTTTGTTATTACATTATTTAATAATAAATCTAATATTCTATGCTGTTTTGTTTCATATCTCTGATCATCAGTTACCAGCTGGTAAAGGATTTGTCTCTTGAGGACATCGTTGCCTTTAAAAGATAATGTCATAAATGGATTATGATGAAGTCTGCATATTCTAGCAAATTCAAATATTAGTAGCTTAGGATCTGGGTGTTTATTTCTCTCCTAATCAGGATGTGCAGGGAGAATTGGAGGCTGTCTCTGGAGAATCATCAGCCCCACAAACTTGTCGGGAATGTCTTGGGAGGACCTGCAGAAGCTGACACTGGTCTTACCTTCTCTTCAGGAGGGGGTTGATGGTAGTTCTCAGGGCTGGCTGGGACAGATACTTCTTCCTTCAGATTTTGAGAATCACCTCAGTTTCCCAAGCTGGCTTCTTACTATAGTCAATCCCAGAGAGAAAGTCTGTAAGGATTTAGTCATTTTTCATTTTTTTCTGCACAAGGTATCACTTTCTTGACAAGTAACCAGGAAACACAAGATACTGGCTGGCTATGTTCTCATCCCTGACTCTCTTTCATCAGAACACTCAGGTGGGTGGCAACAGTCTTCACACTGTGCAAAGGAAAGAGAGTTTGCGGCACCTTGGATAGGAAGCGATGCTTGCTAATTGGGGCCTGAGCTAAAAAGTGGATTTCCCCCTTGGGTAATTGCATTAATCATCCCCCTTCTCCACCTACACCAGAAGAGGTGGCTCTGGTCTGAGTGTTTAATTATGCTCAATACTGTGTGGGTAGTTTCCTGAGGTGGGTAAGACAACTTTCCAGAGAGTTTTTTCTGCTATGTGTGTATATACATATTTATATATTTATAGATAGAAAATACCTCATGTGAGAATGTTTTCAGCCTTCCCAGACCACAGAAACTAAGTCTGTGTTTTGCTCTTCAATGCTCACTCCTTTTTCCTCCTGGATAATTAGGAAAGCAGAGTTGGGGTTGGGAGAGAAGGGAGATGATGAGAATATCAGTGCTAGAATAGGCAGTTGGAGGGCCAGGTGTGGCTAGGAGTGGAAAGGAATGATTCTTTTCTTTTCCTTTTTTTGTGTTTAAATGTATATTTTATTTTATTTGAAAGGCGGAGTTACAGAGAGAGGGAGAGACAGAGATCTTCTATCTGCAATGGTTGGGGTCAGGCCAGCCCAAAACCAACAGTAAGGAACTCATCTGAGTCCCCCTTGTGAGTAGCAGGGGCTCGAGCACTTGAGCCATCTTCTGCTGCTTTCCCAAGTGTATTTGCAGGAAGCTGGACTGGACGTGAAACAGCCAGGACTCGAACAGGTGCTTCTATAGGGTATCAGTATCACAGGCAGCAGCTTAACTCCCTGCATCAGAACACTAGCCCAGAAATGATTGTTTTCGGTGTCATTCTGGGGACAGGTGTTGTGGCACAGTGAGTTAAGTGTTGTCTGCAACATATTTACCTCGTATCCTATGCCCAAGGCCGAATTCTGCCTCCGCGTCTGAGACAGATTCCTGCTGCTCACCTGGGAGGCAGTGGGTGATGGCCCTAGTGGTTATGCTCCTGCCATCCAGGTGGGAGACCTGGATGGAGTCCTGGGCTCCTGGCCTTGGCTTGGTCCAGTCCAGCCTGTTACAGACATTTGGAAAGTGAACCAATGGGTAGAAAACCTCTCTCTACATCTCACCCTATCTCTCTGCCACTCTGACTTTCAAATAAATAAATAGTCTTTCTGAGTTGCGTATTTGGACCCAATTTATGTTTTCAAAGAAATGCAAATGAATTATTTTTATGACTTTCAGTTTTTGGCAATGACACACCCTACAAATAAGCTCTGAGGGTCCTGGATAATAAAGATTATATTTTAATAAAAAGTAAATCTTATTAAAGAAGCAATGCATGTCTACTGTAGAGAAATGACCTATCTGTCAAACCTTTAAGAGATTGCCATTTATGTGTTGTAGCTTCCTTGTTTGGGGGAAACAGGCAAGCAGAGCTGGAGCAGGTCTTTCTCTAAGTAAGAGTTACTGCAATGGCCTCCACTCAGTGGCTATATCCCATCCTTGGGAAAGATGATAAGAAGGTCTTTCATCCCCTTATAGTGGCTACTCCCGGGGATGCTAAAATGTGGGTCTGTTTCCTGGCAAATTCACCAGAAGGGGCTGTCACTCAAAGTAAGATGGGATTTTGGCTAGTGGTGGAGCCTGGAGCAAAGACCCATTGTGAACATGAACTAAAGACTAACTGTGGCTTTTCACATGGGCAACACCCAGCCAGGCTCTATGGAAGGATCATTAAGGGCTGATCATCAAAGACATCAGAAGATGCTCTTGGCATTGGCAGAGATCTGGGTCAGCACGAAGAGCAATCACTAAAGAAGCTTCAAGCTAGACTATTTCTTTATTTTTATTTATTTATTTGACAGAGTTAGACAGTGAGAGAGACAGAGAGAAAGGTCTTCCTTCTGTTGGTTCACCCCACAAATGGCCGCTACGGCTGGCACTGCACCTATCTGAAGCCAGGAGCTAGGTGCTTCTTCCTAGTCTCCCATGCGGGAGCAGGGGCCCAAGCACTTGGGCCATCCTCCACTGCCCTCATGGGCCACAGCAGAGAGCTGGACTGGAAGAGGAGCAACCAGGACTAGAACCCAGTGCCCATATGGGCTGCTGGCGCCACAAGCAGAGGATTAGCCAAGTGAGCCACGGTGCCGGCACCCAAGCTAGACTATTTCTTTAAAGAGCTAGGGAGCTTGCTCACTTTCTCTGCCTCTCTTCTCTCTGTGTAACTCTGACTTTCAAGTAAATAAATAAATCTTAAAAAAAAAAAAAAAAAAAGGCCGGCACTACGGCTCACTTGGCTAATCCACCTATGGCGCCGGCACCCTGGGTTCTAGTCCCGGTTGGGGTACTGGATTCTGTCCCTGTTGCTCCTTTTCCAGTCCAGCTCTCTGCTGTGGCCCAGAAAGGCAGTGGAGGATGGCCCAAGTCCTTGGGCCCTGCACCCGCATGGGAGACCAGAAAGAAGCACCTGGCTCCTGGCTTTGAATCAGCGCAGCGTGCTGGCTGTAGCGGCCATATGGAGGGTAAACCAACGGAAGGAAGACCTTTCTCTCTGTCTCTTTCTCTCACTGTCTAATTCTGCCTGAAAAAAAAAAGAGCTAGGGGTAGCAGGAAGAGTACAAGCACATGGTTTTCATCTGTTGGTTCACTCTCTAAATGCCTCAATGACCAGGACTGTGCAAGGCTGGAATTGAATCTCGGTCTCCTGTATGGGTGGCAGATGGGTGGCAGAGACAGCCACCTGAACCATCACCTGCTGCCTCCCAGGGCCTGCATTACCAGGGAGCTGGAGTCTAGAGCCAGAGCTTGGATTTGAACCCAGGCACTTTGCTACAGGATGCAGATAATCTTGTTTTTTTTTTTTTTCTTTTTAAATATTTATTTATTTAAAAGTTACAGTTCCAGAGAGAGAGGGAGAGACACACAGAGAAATCTTCCATCTGCTTGTTCATTCCCCACTTGCCCATAACAGCCAGGGCTGGGCAAAGTCCAAGCCAGGAGCCAGTAGCTTCTTCCTGGTCTCCCACATGGGTGGCAGGGGCCTAAGCAGTTGAACCATCTTCTGCTGCTTTTCCCAGGCCATTAGCAGGGAGCTGGATTGGAAGTGGAGAAGCCAGAACTTGAAGTGGTGCCCATATGGGATGCTGGTGTCACGAGCGACAGCTTTACCCACACTGTTGCAACAGGGCCTCTGGATGCAGATGTCTCACCCCTCGTCTTAACTGCCAGGCCCAACACTTGCCCCAGTAGGCCTGATTTTTAACAGCAACAGAGGCCATGAAAACAGACCAGTGCTTGTGGGTGGACTCGGGGGTTTCTCTACTTTTCTCTTCACCTAGCACTTGGAAATAGAACAAAACAAGACTGGTGATTCTTAAGCCACTGAGGAAGGAGGTCAAGCCCAAAAATGAGAAAATGAGCATCTTGCTAATGTGATAATGTTTGAGTGACTACCTGATGTAATAAAAAGCACAAATGTTGCTTTATTTGTAACCCTACACTGGCAGGGTGGATCACCCCCAGTTATGTTAGAAAATGCAGATAAATTCAAAGAGAAGAAGGATTAAGTTTTAGGGTTCTATAGCACAGCAGGGGAACTGCAGTGAACAGTAATTTATTGTATATTTCAAAATAGCTAGGGGAAAGGATTTTAAATGGTCCCAGTACAAAGAAATGATAAATGTTTGAGGTGATGGAATATGCTAATTACCCTGATTTGATGAATGTGCATTGTGTGCATGTATTGACATATTGTGCTGTACTCCATAAATATGTACAGTAATTATGTGTCAATTGAAAGTGTCAATAGAAAAGGATAAAATTCACAAAACCTATAATTATCCTAATACTTCAATGTGTTTTCTTCTGCATGCAATGTTATCTATATGTCATGGTGAATATTGTTTAGAAAATAGCTCTTTTCATCTAAGAACATATTATAGTTTTCTTTTTAAAAAATTATTTGAAAAGTACAGAGAGACAGAGACAGATCTTCCATCTGCTGGTTCACTTTCCAAATGCCTACCACAGGCAGGATGGGGCCAGGCTGAAGCCAGGAGCCCAAGATTTCATTCTGGGTCTCCCACATGGGTGGCAAGGACGCAAGCACCTGAGCCATCACCTGCTGCCTGCAAGGGTGTATGTGAACAGAAGTTGGAATTGGAAGCAGAGTCAAGATTTGAACCCAGATGCTCCAATATGGGATGGGGGCATCCCAAGTGGGTCTTAACTGCTGAACCAAACACCCTTCCTTATATGTTTCTGTCAATAAATATTCATCTTAGCATCATCTGGAACACCTGAAGTTCCCATTTTTACATTCAGAAGGTTTTATATACTCAATGGATGGGCATACATTTTGTTCTCTAAATGCAATGGCCTTGTCTCCCTAGCCATGGCCCTGGTTTCATTTGGAGGTAGTATAGAGTAGTGGTTCAGAGAGGTGGGCTTTCGGTCGAGCACACCTTGATATTTTATTTGGATCGACCATATGTAAACCATGTGACTTTAGAGAATTCATTTAACTTCTCTTACCGCTAGTTCTGCCAGCAGTGAACTGTGCATAGTAACTCCAGCTTTGTGTTGTTGTGGATTAAATAACATGAAGGATATGATATTCTTAGCGTAGGGCCTGATGTAGGAATCTTTCGTAGTCACTGGGAGGTACAGTAACCCTTCATTCATTTGTACAGTAACACTTGTTGACTACCTATAGAGTTTCAGTTACTATGACAAATGTTGAGGCTGAAAAATTAGAATATGGATTCTTCTCTACCCTTAAGAAGCTCATAGATAAGTCAAAAGGCAATTACAGAGTAAGGAGATAGAACAATGTGTGTGGGACCAAGGGTTGGTGAGGGAG